TACTATATATATATATATATATATATATATATATATATATATATATATATATATATATATATATATATACATACATATGTGTGTGTGCGTGTGTGTGTGTAATAGCATTTTCGGGATATAATAGAAAGAAAGGAGGCAACGCTCGATCGTCTCCCTATTTTTAATCTCCTCCCTTTTCTCGTTTTATATTCACCATTATTCTTTCAGCCGCTAGTGCTATCCATCGATCCCGAGGACAACGACGATAGACTATGAATAATAGTCAATCCAATATAACGACAACGACGTGAGTAACTGATAACAATGTATATCCCCGCGCGTTATATAGCGCGTCGTCGTGATCGAAAGTATATTTTCAAATAACGATATCTGGTGGGGAAAAGTTGCGAGTTGAAAAATCGCGATGCAGCGCCATCGATAACCCTATCGTCAGAGGCTGATGGGAAAGAGTGGCTGTTGTCGCCTCGAGGAAGGATGTCGCATCCACGGAGACAAAGCATGTCCTTCACCGCCGTTATGAACCATCGAAGAGGTCTTCTCGGGTAATTTAACCAGTTTTCTTTTTTCCCCTCCCCCTAATTTCGCATCCCTCGTCCCCGACTTGGACGTTGGTATTGGTATTTTCGGAGTCCACGCATCGGCGTGCACGGCCGACCGATTTAATCGTTCCGGTTAATGCATTAATAACGGCTAAAATATTACAGGGCGTAGAACGCGTGGTGAAACGTGGTGTGCTGTTGGGAGCGCAAAAAAGCGTGATAATTTTACGATCATTGAATCCTGTTTTCGAACGAAGTATTTTCGACGTGACGGTCCACCGATTCGTTTGAATTTATTTCGTTCGGGTGTATCGAGGCGAGATCGAGCGGTTGGACACGGTTAAATACCTTGCCGATCCTTTCCACCCCGGCCTGGTGGAATCGCGCCCCACGTATGTTTCAACCACCGCGCAACCTCTCTACCCGAATCCCCCCAATCGCGATGTCAAACATTCATCCTGTCATGCCGTTTCCGGCAGCGCGTTGATTTCAGGTATAGGCAGCAACATGTCGCTGCCCTCGTGCATCCCTCAAGACCAAGAGTTTTTGCCCGGTCAGACGGGAGCGGGGTGCAAAACGGCGTTGTTGAACAATCGAAATCAACCAGGAACGGAGAAGAACGAGCACGAAGCGCTAAAGCAACGGCCCAATTTTCTCCCGCTGGCACCTGTTGGCGCGGGTTGCGTGAACGCTCTGGAACCAGTGAAAGGTGAGCGTGTCCTCCTCGAGAACTGTTCGAGAACCGAGAGATTTATTAACCGAGAGATTTGCGCGATTTCGATGCAGCGAAGCAACGGACCATGGATGAAAAGTTAACGGAGAAGAGGAATTGCCACGCGGAAATGGTGTCCATCATGAGCACCCTTTACGCGAAATTGTTGATCGTGATAGGGCTAGCCGTGCCCATAACGGCCAGCGTGACGGAGAGGGTTCCAGCTTCGTTGAATCAGGTGACGGATCTTTCCGACGAGCGGAGAAAAAGGATAGATATATATATATATATATATTCTTCTCCGAGAACGTACGTACGATGATAATGCAACGTCTGTTTGCGTTATAGGGTTTCTATTTGTATCTATACGTGGTCAGCGTGGCATTCGTGATCTCGATGTACGTTATCGTATTAAGAGACAAGGCTGTTTGGAATGTGAAGGGGAGGAGCGGAGGGGGAAAGGAGCAGGCGTTGAAATGCGACGAGAAGGGGGATCGCGTAAATCCTAGCCAGGTAAAGTTTGCTCTTCGAAAATATTTAATCGCTTCGAAAATTAACTTGGAATCACGTTTCACGACGTCGTTACCCCCCTTGCGACCACCGATGTTTGTCTTTGACAAAGTGTCACGCGGGGGGAGGGGAGGGGAAGGGAGGGGAGGAAGAGGGAAGGCGACGATCAGGGATCAGCGATCCCTTTTCAGGTGTCCCGACCTGCGCAATTGTTGACTGTCACGAGGCCAATTACCCGTCTCGCGTCAACGCTTGGCCATTGAATAATTTGTAGAAAATAAGGGAAGGAGAAAAAGAAGAAAGAAAAAAAAAAAAAAAAAAAAAAAGAAAAAAGAAAAACAAATGTTTCGCAGCGTAAACCAGCGTGAAAATCCTCCTCGCTCGCCATTTTCTAATTAGCGGATCGCATTCAACCGGCCGTGCACACGTACAATGAAATCTTTGTTTCCCACCAGACGCAACAGTACGGGAGCTTTTGTCTGAGACTCGGCGCTGTGGGATTTGGCGCTGGCTCGTTGGTATTTACGGGATTGCAAATTGGGGCGGAAATAGCTTCCGGCCCGTTCAGGGCGATTACACCGGGTGCCAGGCTGCTGCTGGTCACGGCCCAGATGCATTTTATATTTCTCAACAGTAAAAGTCTCAGCTTGGCCAAGCACACCGCACTGGCCAAGTTAGGTCTGATGCACATGATCGCGACGAATCTCTGCGAGTGGTTACAGGTAAGCGGAACGACCGTGATGAAATGGATGAGAGAGAGAGAGAGAGAGAGAGAAGTAAAAATAATAAAAAAATAAAACGCGAGGAAACATTTTTCCTCATCGAGGAAATCGCGGAGAACTGTTTGAACAACTTGATACATTTTATCCATCGACGTTGCGCGTTTGCTCGCAAAAGTGAATCGAAAACGAATTACCCGGCACCGCCAATATTTGAGTCATCCGAGTCAATTTGTCGCATCATCATCATCGTCATCATCGTCATCGCTATATCGAATATCAATACGTACGAAAACAATCGAACGATATATAAAACCGAAATCGAATAAAAGGGAAAGAACGGTGGACAACGGTTGGAAACAGATATCACTTTGATCCGAACATTTCAATGACCTTTATCTGGAAACGAGCGATCGGTATCGATTAACCGTGTAAACCACCACTTATTGGCGGGAGGAAAACGCGCTGTTTATTCCCATATTCATAGAAACGTTGCGTGTCCCGTCGTTTTTTTTTTTTTTTCTTTTTCCTCCCCTCTCCGTTCTTCCTCGATGAAAATCGAGTTGGCCGTTTCGCGAACTCGATACATTCGTTTCGTACGTTCGTCTCCCTTGTTCTCCTCCCCCTCCCCGCACAAGTTGATACGCGTGCGTCGCCGTGAATTTTTCACGCGTCCTCAGGCATTCCGTTTGTTTGCCAAGGCGTTGGTCGAGGAAACGCAACACGAGATCGATCAGCTAGGCGACACGCACGACGACGATGACGGTATACTGAAATCGCTTCTGAGGGACGCGAGCCCGTTCCTTTTCCCGTGCACAATTGAATTCAGTTTAATTTGCGCGGTGATACTGTTCGAGATGTGGAAGAGGGCGGACGAGAGGATCGATGCAAAGAGCGAGACCCCGGCCAGATCCTCGTATCATCTTAGCATAGATTGCAGCAGCTCTCACAGGTCAGCTTGAGGAAGAAATTTAATTAAATCGATAGGATTTCCCTTTCTCCCCCTTAATTTGTTAATGCGATATCGTTGAGATTTTATTTAACACTGTTAACCCGCCTCACACACACCTCCCTCCCTCCTTCCCTCCTCCTCTACGCGTTCTTTTCTTTTTCTTTTCCTTTTTTTCTTTTTTCCAGAGGTCTCTTCGGCGGGATATTGATCGTTGCAGCGACTATATTGAGCTTGATCATGTTCTTCGTGCTGAAGGAGACGAAAATGGAGATTGCGATCGTTCAGGTCACCGCGCTCGACGCCACTATACTTACGTTAGGTAAATTTCGATGGCAATTTTTTCCTCTCCCTCTCTCTCTCTCTTTCCTTTTCCTTTTTTACTTCGACCCATTGAAAGGAGGGATTGATGATCGATGATAGGTATGATCGCTTCGATCGCGGGCACGTTGAAGTTGCAAGCGTTGCAGCAGAAGATTGTCAAACCATCGGACTTGGACACCACGCTGTTGGCAGCGGCTCAAGCCGGGGTCTATCTGCATTGTCTGTTCGGGGTTGTTGGCGATATATTGACAATGGGACCGACCTGGGCGTTATCGTTGATCACAGATTTGTTGGCCTTAATGCAGAGCACCAGCCAGACGTTGCTCATCAAAGTAAGAAATTGGTTCGTTTCGTTTAGAGAACGAAATTTCGGTCATATTTACCAGCTCGGTCGAAGCATGGTTCCATCGGTTGAAAAATTCGCAGATCGCCTGGGGAAGACGTTGCTCGAGAAACGACAAGCCTGGCAAGGAATTAATCACATTCCTTATAGTCGTCAACATCGCGTTGTGGACGGTGAACACTCTGGAGAAGTCTCGCGCGGGGGTTCGCCCGGACCATCTTCGATTCTTCGGAGTGTGGGCATGGACCATCATCACCCACGTGTCCATGCCATTGGCTATATTCTATCGGTTCCACTCGGCCATATGCCTGTTCGAGATATGGAAGACGTGCTACAAATGCAGATCGAACAGCGTCGTCCACACCCCTTACTGAATTCGCCCCGATTCCTTCGAAACTTTCTTGATCGAAACTTTCTACCGCGTTGAACAATGTAATATACAAAAATCTTATTACTTTTAATAAAAAAGCGAAAGAGAAGGAAAAAACCGTTTCGACCGTTCTCTTTTGATTACCGTTTAACCGAGGGAAGGAGAGGGAGGGAAACAGAAGAAGAGGAAAGAAAACGAGCGATATAACAACATTACGGAGACTCGCAAAAGGTAGGAGACTTGTCCGCAACGTTTACCAGGTTGCACGTTGTAACTTCTAAGCCGGCTCCAAAGACAAAGGGTAAAAGGGGCGCAGTTTCAAAGCTGTTGCTGGCGTGGACGACGACGTGGACGCGACGTGGCATGGCCGACGCGAATCGATAGAGAGAGAGAGGTGCGTACTACTTTTATCATGGTGTACCGCACGGAAAAGATAGACGGTAACGATGATGGTGGACGGCCGACAGTTTGATACGGTTTACGGTAAACACATTTCGGTAGCAATCACATCACGGGGCAGGCAAGCCACGGCCGCTGCAGCGAGAAGTAGGTGATGCTTGGTTGGAGAAAGCGAGCGAGTGGTCGGTGAAGAGCTCTTAGCCAACCCTTTGTTGCTCCTGCTATTGCGTCCCTCTTCCTTCCTCCGCCCCCTTCAACTCAACGGAGCGGAGGCTGCACTCTTGACCAAAGGCCTCTGATTTACTTAGCCTATCGAGTGCTCTCGGACTCGTCCACCAAGAATACCGTGCACGCGGTGTTCTACACCGTGTTTCCCAAATTTCCAAACTTAATGCTCCACTTACTGTCCGTCCATCTTCCGCGCCGAGATTTCCCCTGATCGCGCCCCTCTTGTGTGTAAATAACTTTCGGTCAGAGGAGGAAATTGGAACGTCCCATCTCTCCTCGGCTTCGTTCCCCTCGCGTTTTTCCCTCGAACGAGTAGTGCAAGTGTCGCGAATCGATAATCGTTCCAAGGAGGAATTTTGCCGAAAAGAAGGGAAAAAAACACGCGCATGAATCTTCTTCGCGGGGAGAAAAGGAGAAAGAAAAGGGAAGGGTGTCGGTTGGCAAGCGTCGCAATCCTCTAACACCGTAGGTTCGCCGTAGGTTTTGTTTCTTTTCCGGATTTAACCAGGATTTACCTACGTGTCTACGCCAGCCTGCCTACCCACCATCGAATACGATCTGCAACGCGCAACTGCAACGGCGAGAAGGAGAGATCTTAGATTCGCCCCCCTACGGGGCTGGATATCGATGACCGTGTACAACGTGCTCCGGCAAAATTGCCAGGAATTCGAATTTATTCGAAACGAAACGGGTGAAAACGTGCGACTATGAATGAAATTCGTACGTCAATCTAGCGCCATCAGTTCCCAATCCATTTACCTAATTTAATTTACCGTGGAATTTAAAGTCGCCCCGTAAACGGCGACTCGTAATTGTCGTATAACGAGCCATCTATTAACGATAATAGTTATTATCGGGTTGAATCGGCCACGCAACGAGAATATCGATTATTATTAACGACGAGATTATTTATAGCGGGTACACCTTGAAAGCGAAATAATCAAGGACCGTGCGTGAATTTGCATTCCAACATTCCACGATGCGATGCGAAGCAACATTTCCCGCGAGCCATTCAACCATTTTCCATTCGATAATTCGGGAAACGCCCCTTCGATCGGTCATGGAAAAATCTCGCAATTTATCGGGTTTACCGATCCTATCCTGTCGATTCCACGTTGGCACGGAGGGAACGGGGAGCAGAAAAAGAGGAGGAAAAGGCGATGCGACAGCGACAGGACGAGGAAACCTTGATATATCCGCCAAACACAAGGAGAGAGAGAACGCCTTGGCGGATTTATCGGAGCCGCGGATAATGGATGGTCTTCGCAGCAGGGAAGAAACTTTTTTAAATAATATAACGTGCAACTAGCGGAAGCGCTTCGATCCTACGGCGATTCGAAATACCGCTTATATCGGGAGGAGGAGGGGGAAACTGGAAGGGGAACTATATCCCTCCTCCTCCTCCTCCCCTCTTCTTTCTCGCTAATACTTCGGGGAAAATAATGGTTCGCCAAAAAGTGTGCAATAACCAATTTCTTGTCGTGACCGGGCATGGCCGTCGTCGCTGAAAACGTATCGATACGTGAAATCGTCGAGCGTTCGAAATAAAATTATCTCGGTGAGAGCGGAGCGTAAAGGAGCCCGTGCGAAGGGTCAGCGGCGGTTCTCTTTCTCGACCCAATTACACGGGGCTTTAATGAATTTTCGATATACTCGCTGCTCCGCCGCTAGCGTAAAGCGCGGCGATAAAAAGAACCGGTAAAAACAAGTAAATTATTCGGTGGCTGTCGATGTGGCCGAAATAAGAGTCGGAAGGACGAGACTTTGGCGAAAGAAACGACAGTGGTATTAGCGGAACAACTACCGGTAGGCAAATACCATTGGCGGTGGTGGTCGATTGGACGATCCTCGGGAATGTATTTAATTCGATTGGACTCTGCCGCCATCTGGACGAGACAAGAGAGAAGAAGGGAGGGAAACTCGAAGCTAGGGTGAGGGAACCTCTGTTTCCGCCGGAAATGAGACCTTCGCGACTCGTACTCCCATCCTCCGCTACCCCTTTTTGCCTCCTCCTCAACGCCCTCTCGAACCTCCTCAACCCGGCTGTGGTCGTTCCCCTAACCGAAACATCTATCCCCCTCTATCTCGAGGGCGAGAATGCAAATTGTATTTATATTCCATCTCTCGTGGCCAGGTAAATATTTCAACCAGCCATGCTTACCTGTGTTTCCCGCCAAACTTGCTTTCTGCAAATCATTCAAATCCACTTCCCATTCGCGTTTCCCACTCTTTCATAGCCTTCACCAGCCCCGCTTTTCCTTCTTCTTCTCATTTCTTCACTTCTTTTCTTCTCTCTTTCAAATATTTAAATTATAAATATTCATCAATGTATATGTGTGTGTATGTGTGTGTGTGTGTGTGTGTATATTGCGAAATTCTAATTCCTCTGGTCGAATGTGCGATTAAAAATAATCATAATGATTTGACAACGATATTATCATCGCCGATCGTTTGTTGCGATTTATTGAAATGCATGCTCGTGTTCCGATAGGAATTAAAATATAAACGAATCCTATCATTTCTACCGTGTTTCCTGCTATGACAAAGACTGCACAATGGATGGAAGCGAATATCTTAAAAAAAAAAAAAAAGAAAAAAAAGTAAAATAAAAAAAGAAATAGTAAAAAAAAGTAGACGAAACGAGGAAAAATCAGAGTCGAAAAGACTTACTAATGCTCTCTCGCAGCTCCGATGAATGTCGCTTGGTCTCCGAGGATGTAATTTTCGCTGTATGCCCGGATTAGAAGCCAGCTCGTCGGGGGCTCCACGTTATACCGCTTGATAAGTATTGCCCATACCTCTTGAATACACTAGAACTGGAAAAGGGATTCGAGATGATCTCAAAGCGATCGATTGGCCTCGACATGACGTCACGGGTCACGGCGATAGGCTGCTGTTATGTCTCGTTAAGAATCCAGGTACTATAATAGCACGGATTAATGATAAGAACATAAGGGCAGAGCAACCGTGCAGTTTGTTGGAACGTAAAAGCTATTATTACGATACCTGTCGTTGCTACTTCAGCGAGAATTGATTTTATTTAACGTCTCGAGAGAAAAAGCTTCATCGACCTTCTCGGAAACCTAAATCTTAAGAAACCAATGAATTTATAATATATAAATATGCTATATATGTAATTTTATATATAAATTTTTCTATATT